GACGGCGGGCCGCATGCCGCGCCGCGCCCTTGAAGTGGCGCTGCACCACGGGCCACTCGGCCAGGTCGTACGCCAGCGCCACGACGTGCGCCGGCAGCCCGAAGCGCAGAGGGCGCGCGCGTGCCTTCGCCGTGCGTCGCGGCGGCGAGGGGCATGCCGGCGATGGCGACCATGGTCGCGGCGCAGCGGAGCCGAGCTTGGCCCAGTGCCAGGCGGGGCTCCAGGGCGTGAGGCGGCGGCGGCGGAACGGCGGCGGGGCCGTTTCGGTGGCGGCGTCGTGGTCATGGTCGTGGTCGTGGTCGGGGTCGACTGGCAAGGTGGACGGCCACGGCGCCGCCGCTTGCTTGCTGGACGAGGCCTTGGTCGTGTCGATGAGGGATTGCATTTTGGACGTTGCTGTGGAGAGAGAGAGAGAGAGAGAGAGAGAGAGAGAGAGAGAGGAGGGCCTAAAACCTGATGTGACGGCCTGACTCGCTGTTGAGGATTGCTAGGTATCTATCAAAGAGGATGGAGGACTGCGATGAGAAGCGGATTGGTGGTGGTGGTAGCCATCATGTTGGACTTATATGGCGGAGAACCTCCGAGAGTCCGGAAGGCTTTGGTCCCCGATCAAGCCTGTTGGTGATGGAGACAAGACTGCTCTCAGGAACGTATGTGGACAATCGGCAAACCCTGTTTCGACCGCAAGGCCCGAGACGCTGGCGAGGAACATGTCGAGCGCGTCTGGTGCTCATTGGATCCTATCTCGCTGCCTATGCCTCTGTGTCCTGGGGGCGAGCCGCACGGCCAATCCCCACGGCGCAAATGCTGATGCCTGGTCGCGATTGATCTCCGTGCGCCTGCAGCTTCAGGGGTTGGGTTGGGCGGAATCCTTCTCGCCAAGACAGCCTGTGGTGGATGGGCCTGGACCCTGCCCTTGTGAAGCGGCAACGACGGGAGAGCCAAGCTTAACTTCATGGCCTCATAGCTCCTCTCGAGGTTGCTGTGTAGGATATCGAGATGTGTCGGAGTTCCGGAGTCAAAAAAAAAAAATGGCTTCTAATGGCGTGGGAACGACCTGTCATACATGGTCTGATATGATGGAGTAGCACGAGACGTTGGCAAGGCAACTAGTAAACGTCCATTCGAATCGAAATCAACGGCGCAACTTGGCTCTCATGCGCCTTCTTGTGGTACAATGTGGCCTTGACAAAGTACGTTGTGGGCTGGTGATTGTGGGAAAGGAAGTTCATTTTCTGGAGTATGGTGCGTCTACAGCTGATCAAGACCATGCTTTGTTCAATGTGGATGCAGACGAGACTGCGCTTCCCGCACATCATTTCGGTACTTTCCCTGCGAATTTCGCCATCAGTCGCGAGTTCCAATGTCAATCCAACGTGGCAGATTAAAGGCGTACAAGATCGATCGCTACGCCGAAATCAGGACCAGATTGACGAACCAGGCGTCAGACTCTTCGGGTACGTGATGCTCTCCGGGGAATCGGAACTTCACAGGTCCGGCAATATGGCCAGGCTTTGAATGAGAATATTTATAGCCGAGGAAGGAGACTCCAATTTCAGACAGCCCGTACTATACCTAGATCAGCCAGCCAGATATTGCGAGGCTTGCAGTGAATATCTTCCCGGGTCTGGCATCTGAGAGAACTTCTCTCTCAGTTGGCCAGCCGAGCTCGGTCTTTGAAACTCTTTGTGTAGTATGACAGCCACGAACATGACCCTTCGCAGTAGCAGTCGATGCCTTACTTTGCAATACTATTCTGTGATTCTCAAATGCAGTTGTCTTTTGGAGCTGTTGCCTTCAGCATGGACCACGGGACTGGCGGAGACATCTCAGGAGATACCAGCCAAATGCGATTCCCAGAGCCGTGGGTTTGGAAATGAGGATAGCGGGAGCTCAGGCAGCCGGGGACCGGGCTTTTCGAGGACCATACAATGCAACGACATACTTGACTACCGATGTAAGGCATGGCCTAGTGACTCGGGTCCAATGCCCATGATTCTCGAGGTGCCGATGCCGAGACCTTTGCCACTCAGACACGTCTTTGCGCTCGACCCTTGTATTGGCTGTCTGGTCATGCTGCGGAAATCTCCGGCGGAATGTCGAGAGCGGTCTGATACATGATGTTGTGTAGGAAGACAATGTGCCAAGTCTGTTCTGCAGCAGATGGCTCATTTCAATGAATACAGAACGATTTACGATCGGAAAACAAAACTCCTTGCTGTGAATTGCAGTAAGGGATGCGCCATGATTACAAGAGCACGATACTACGGCCAAAACCCAATCAAGAGGCGCATAGGCGCATAGTTGGGAATTCAGCTGGATGTGTGATTAGAGAACTCGAACACACCTCATTTGCATCGCCGTCTACTCGTGTCGGACAAGAGCACCAAGACAGCTTTCGGAGGCATTCCGCACAACTGGTGTTGCCCAGTATGTAAGCGAAAAATCACAATCACGTAGGCACACGACACGAGGATTGATAATAATGAAGCATACGTGCATACCATACAACAGAGCGAGCCTCGATGGATGAAACGAATGGCAACCACGCTATGCGTACGCTCGGCCTGTAGCGGCTTACGCGACGGACAGGACGTACTGCAGACCAGCCCACTGCTCCTCGACGTTGGGACGGATCTGCTCGGGCGGCAGGACAAAGCCGCCGGCGCCGGCGGACGCGGGCCTCAGCTCAATGGTCCAGGCAAACTCGGCCTCGACGGCGCCCGAGTGGAAGTCGGGGGCGCTGCCGGTGGTGGCGTAGAGCTCGCGGCAGCTGGAGCCGTAGACGTACTTGGAGCCGTTGACGGCGAAGACGGCGTCGGCGTAGCACTTGGCGACGTGGACCTGGCGCTCAAAGTTGGGGGGCACGACGGAGCAGTCGTAGCCGTAGGGCTGCAGGGCGTACTGGCCGTAGGAGTGGAAGTCGATGAAGAGCTTGACGCCGTGCTTGGCCTTGACCGTCTCGGTCCAGGCGACGAGCGAGGCAATCTCGGGCGTGTCGGCGGCGGCGAGGCCGCGGTAGGTTTCGCCGCAGGGGTTGTCCGAGGCGCCACCCGGGTAGTGCCAGCCAAAGGGCCAGTTGCGGTTGCCGTCGGTGCCGACGCACGTCGTGTTGGCGCGGGGCTGACGATTCTTGCGCCAGAGGCGGGTTGACGTCTGGGTGAAGACGAAACCTGGGGGTTGGGTTAGCGGGGTTGGAACGTTGTGGAGCAAGCATGCTCAGACACGCACCGTCGGGGTTCACAAAGGGAATGACGTAGTAGTCAAACTTGTCGACGAGAGCCTGAGTGCCCTTATCGCCCTCGAGGTAACCCGAGATGAGCTTGTAAGCGAGGTACTCGGTCGTCTGCGGCCGTTAGTCTTGGGGTCCGATGGACGCCGTCGTCGACTCTTGGTTTTCACTCGAACCAGAGTTCCGCCACGTACCAGAGCAGACACCCACTCGCGGGCGTGGACGGTCGAGTGCCACGACACGGCAGGGTTCGCATCCTTGCCGTCCTTGCCCCAGAAGTGAATGCCGTAAATGTCACGGCCCTCGTACGACTTGCCGGCGACGAAAAGCTCCGAGTTGTTGGGGAACGAAGCGTGCAGGTCGTCGAAGAAGTCGCCGTGCTCGGCGTAAGGGTGATACGCGTCCCACCAGGACAGGTCGGGCAGCGTAGAATCATCATTTTGCCCTGTGTGAAGAGGGAGGGAGAGAGAGTCAGCAACACGACAGCGCCAGCCATCCAAGGTTCAGCGG